GGGGCTGTCCCTTCAAACCAGGTCTATGTAAGGGCCTTATTATGAAGGAGACTTGAATCAGCAGGATGACAAACAGTGACTGGGTCAAAAGCTATGAGCACCACTCATCTTTCTCTGGATGAAGTGGTGCTATGCTCTGCTTAACTAAGAGAAAAAACAATTTTAGTTTTTCCCTCTAGATAGAAGCTAGGAGGATGTCGTCCTGTTGAAATCGGAGAAGAACCCCTAAAATCTACACTAATAATGTGGCCCTTAAAGTTCCCTAGAAATGCTATCTGGGGTGCCACATGTGCTACCGGAATTTGGGGTGCCTTATGATTTAACCATGGGCTTATTACTAAATCTCTGATATTAATAAGCTCAAGAGGGTTCTTGCCTAATATTTAGAGAAGAATTCTAAATACTGGCACAAACAAGGCAGCATGGTACGTTTTAGGCTTTTATTTAGTGAGAAAGATGCATAGAAGAGTGAGAGCTTTATTTAAGAGAGAGAGGTAAGTAGGGGTTCATACCGAGCACCAGGAACCAGCCACATGGAAGAGCATCTAGGCCTGTATCTGGGCCAGGAAGCCTAGAGCACATGGCCCGAAGGCCATGCGCCCTGGAGGCACAGGGCTACAGCAAGCCACCTCCTGGCAAGAGGCCAGGGAAGAAGAGAGAGGCCCGGCCCACACCGTGTTCTGGTTTTTAACCTACTTCCAAAGGGGAGTGGTTAATTAACCTGATTGGCTGGTGCACACCCAGGTGTGGCCAGGTAGGGGCATGAGGCCACATGGCCTCACCTGTGTTGAAGGCGGGGTCAGACATCTAAGGAATGAGTGAGTCAGAACTGGGCCAGGGGCTGGCGCTGTGGCACAGCAGGTTAACGCCCTGGCCTGAAGCGCCAGCATCCTATATGGGCACTGGTTCGAGACCCAGCTGCTCCACTTCCGATCCAGCTCTCTGCTGTGGCCTGGGAAAGCAGTACAAGATGGCCCAAGTCCTTGGGCCTTTGCACCCACGTGGGAGACTTGGGAGAAGCTCCTGGCTCCTGGCTTCGGATCAGCAAAGCTCCAGCCATTGTGGCCATCTGGGGAGTGAACCATCGTATGGAAGACCTCTCTCTCTCTCTCTGTAACTCTTTCAAATAAATAAATTAATTAAAAAAAAAAAAAAAAAAAGAACTGGGCCAGCTCCGCTAGTGTTAGACAAGCCATCTAACCCCTCTGAGCTTTCACATTCCCTCCAGTTCTAAAATTCTCCATCCTACTTACGGAAGTGAGGTGAAAATAGCCCACTCTTGACTAGCATACTGCAGAAGGCAAATAGCAATGGCCAAAGCCAAATACAAATGAGTAATAACTCACATCAGACCATAACAAACACGTCTTTTAGATGGAGTGTCATTTTTCTTATTTGACAGGCAGAGTGGACAGTGAGAGAGAGAGAGAGAAAGGTCTTCCTTTTGCCGTTGGTTCACCCCCCAATGGCTGCCGCGGCCGGCGCGCTGCAGCCGGCGCATCGCACTGATCTGAAGCCAGGAGCCAGGTGCTTCTCCCGGTCTCCCATGCGGGTGCAAGGACTTGGGCCATCCTCCACTGCACTCCCGGGCCATAGCAGAGGGCTGGCCTGGAAGAGGGGCAACCAGGACAGAATCCGGTGCCCTGACCGGGACTAGAACCCAGTGTGCCGGCGCCGCTAGGCGGAGGATTAGCCTAGTGAGCTGTGGCACCGGCTCCTAAGGTTTCTGATTGGCTTATAGGAACAGTCAGGCATGTCTTTCGCATTCACCTGTGAAGACTTAAGAGGTAGAAGTTTAATCCAAATTTCACAGAGGTAGTTGTGTTCAATAGTACCTGGTAAGGTCCCTTTTATTTAAGCTGACACTGATCTGAAGAGGAAGAGGATCTTCTTATGAATGACTTGCTCAGGAATTTCTAATGTTGGAGTTTTTGTTAAAAACTCCTTAATTCCTTGGAACACCTTTGCAGCTCCCCTGTCCAGCAAAGTGTCTGTTTCAGAGGCTTTTAAGCAAACACAAGGCTTAGAATCCAAATCCTGGAATCCATAACTCTTGTAGCTACCCTTTTCAGTACAGTCTACATCAGGGCCTCTTTAAAGCTATATACAAAAAAAAAAAAAAAAAAAAAAAAAAAAGCTATATACAAAAGTGTGGAATCCAAATCCATAGAATCCTGTCATCAGTAATTCCCAATACCGGAGCTTTTATTTAGAAGTTCCTTAGTTCTCTGGAACAACATTTGCAGCTACCCTTTTTAGTACGGAGACTGCTTTAGGGCGCCTTTAAAGCTATACACAAAAGCTTGGACTCCAAATCTTGGAATCCAAAGTCCATAGAACTTTGCCATTCCAGAAATCTCCTCGGCTGCCTTTAAATATCTGACCCTATGTTAAAACATCACGAGACAGGAATTTTACAGTGAGCCATGTATCCAAGATTTCACATTTGAGGCACTTACTAGACCTTAAATAAATACCTAGAAACACAGGCAATGGAGTTTGACACTTAGACATAATTAGAACTTCCGATGCATAATATCACATGATAGAGCAAAGCAAATCTTTGGGATTAAGTTTTGCCATTAAAGTTAATACTGCAGTTCTTTTGAGAAGAGTCCACACAGGGGCGTGTTGAAGGCGTGGTCTTCCAGTTCACAAATCTAATCAATTTTAGCCTGTATGCCTGCCTACTTCAATGTCAAAGAGCTAATTCATGCTCTTGCAAATGGTTAACCCTCAGTTTTAAAGGCCGTCATGTGGATTTTCAGAGGTATATGGGTCAGTAGATTCTTATTGGCTGAACATAAGAATGTGAAGTACTAACTCTGCAAAGAGGTGGCCTTGTGAGTTACACAGAAGGTAGAAGGTTCTGCTTTTGTGCTTTTGGTCTGTATATTCATGAGCATGGGCATGCCTGCTGGGGCTACTGAAGATGCCAGACAGGCTCTGCACCTTGGCTGGCTTAGATTACATTGTGCTACTGCTCAGACTGAAGGGTCCTTGAGGAGGCAGCAGGAAAACCTTTGGAAAAGAAAATGGTAGGTTATTTCAGAGCAACTTCTATTTGCTTGTGTCTGATGGAGGGAATAGTGTGAGGGTTCAGTGTATTCTGTGCACAGGTTCAGTTAAGGCCCCAGACGCTTGGATTTAGCATCTTTAGCCTAAAAACACACTAAGCGCTTAGAAGATTTTGCTTGGTTTGTATTTTTCCTTTGTGGTTGTTTTTGCTTTGGTTACCAACTAAAAAAGCAGGTCATTTCAAACCCTGAAAATTTCATATTTCCAGCCTCTCTCTTTGGGAAATTCCATTCTGGATTTGTGTTCTTTTCTGGTGACAGTTGGGTGAGCTGAGAAACTGGTGCCCTGTTAGACAAGCCGCAGCAAGTGCTCTCCTGATGTTCACTCAGATTAAACCCCCACCCCCAATCTTGCTTTATTCCTTTATGGCAACTGTCTGGATCTACTGGCATTTGGGCTTGTGAGTCCTGCTTTAGAGATCATCTGAGAGGTGACTTGAGGTCAGATCATTTTGGGGCAGGGAAAGAAGGGGACAATTATGCTGTCCCCGGTCACAGGTATCCTTGTTTTGAATCTTGGCTCCTCAATTTAGCTGAATGACAGCAAACAGTTTTCCTGAGCTGTTAGAGTTTCCTCATAGGATTAGTGTGATGAACAAATGAAATAATCAACTGTAGCTGATCATGTGACTGGCAATTAGTAAAGTCCTCTGTGGACATCTGCTATAATAGTTGCCTTCACTGCTAACTTCAACATCATTTTTGTTTACATACCTTAGACTGGTGGGTAACAAGGGAATATAAGTAGATATATGTGTATGTATATACATGTGTGTATACATATATGTGGATATATATGTATATATATATAAACTTTTACATATGTAATCTTTTCAGGGCAAGAGATTGTTTTATTCCACTTGGTGATTCCTCAAAATAATTTATGCTTATGAAAAATCATTCCTTTTGTATCATGTAAGTCCTCCTGATATCAACACCTATTTTCTTTCATTCTATCTTTAGAGTTGATTATCTTTCCATGTGTAATTATGTATAATTTTATTTCAGGTTCTGTATTTTAATACCCTGCCAGTGGTTAAACTCTTTTTTTCTTTTTCTGGACTTCATTAATATAGATAGTTGGAAAAAAGATTATAAAATTTTAGAAATAAGATCAGCTATATTTTAGGTATATGGGGACAATTGTAGGTATTGGAAAACTTAATAAAAGGAGTTTAATGCTTTTAAACTGAATTCTATTATTTTGTCCTTTACTGTAATGTGGTTCCTATAGAACATACAATGCCTCTCATTATCATCTTATTTTTATTTTAAGGAGATAAAGAATGGAAGAAGTAGTGTGATTCATTTTATTTCTTACCTAGAAAAATTAGTTCCATAACCATGTTAGGTGGATCCCTAACAGCCCTCTCCTGGGGGCAGCTTAGGAGAATAGTGCCCACCCTACACCAAGGGGACCATGAGGTCCATTATGAAGTCCTAGGAAGAATTTCAGGAAGCCCTCCACCATCTAGACATCCCAGACAGGGAGCAGGGAGGAGAAACAGAGGGCCCATACCCATATCCATGAAAACTCCAGTCTGAATATAGACTGGGCTCGGTCCTTTCCTAAAACGCTCACCTGGTCTGTCAGGTGTACGCTCTTCATTAAACTTGGCTAGCACGCTTACTGTTAAAAACAAAACTAAACAAAAAACCAAAAAAAGAAAATTAAATTATACTACCATTTTTCTAGTAATATGTTAGAAATTTACTTTATTAAACCTTGCTAATGGCTGCTATAAACCTAAAAAAATTCTTGTTATACGGATAGATCAAAAACAAACTTATCACCTAATTTTAGGCTATATGTAAATTAGTAAATCTTTTTCAAGATAAAGGTAGCTTAGGACAAAGAAATTTTGGGTTACACTGAAAAGTATCCTCCCTGAAAGAAAGATGAATATCAGAATCTAGCCACACTTCAAAAAGGCGTGCCAGTGTTTATTTAGAATCCCTTCTATTTTATTAGAAACAGGCACAGTAATTTCACCAGCAGGAAACAAGTGTGCTCTCAATGCAGGTAAGTTTACCACTCCTTCATCGTAGCCCACTGCAGACACTTTTGGATCCAAGGTAAGACTCCAAATGAGAAATACGAAGCATCCAGTCCCTGATGATTCATGTAAGTTCTGTTCAACCAAATGAAAGCTTCCAGCGAAGAGCTGCTGTTCCTCTCGGCTGGCTTTGTGTTTATCTCAGTGCTCTGAAGAACTCTGTACTTGGGCAGCTGTGCTCGGTCACGTCAGGCGACTGGGCAGGAGTTGACGCTCACGGCCCCGCTGACCAGGGCCGCCTTACTGAAGCTCACGGGGCGCCCATCAATCACAAAGTGGCGGATGCAGCCTGTGAAGGGCTTGCCAGGGGCCAAGCGTGGTGTCAGCAGAGACTCTGGAAAGAGAAATAAGGAAAACCAAACGTTTCAATGAAGGCATTCCAAACCTGTGCATTATGATACGAGTTGAAACAGTAATTGCTCATATCCTCAAAATAATTTGCATGTCAAAAATGGAATTGACTCAGTTCTCAGGAACATCCTCTGCTTTTGAAGTCATACAAACGTGGTAATTTTCAATGTTTTATCATGTTTCGATGATCAAAGTTCTGTGTATACTCTCATTGTCACTTCCAAGGCTGAAATTGACCACTTATACAAGAATATAAAGCCTTAACAGTGAATTTTCATTATCTACCTATGCTTTGTAGAGTTAACTTCACCTGAGCCTCACTTATTTTGTGTGTGTTGCTGAGAGTGGGGAAGGACATTTTAACTTCCAGACTATTTTTGGACATGGTTAATGTTTCTGTCTAATTCCTATCATTATCCTTTACCCTTAAGCCCCCACGTTTTTGCCAAGCTCAGAAAGCTTAATGAGAAAATAATGAATTCAAATAAACTAAAATTTAATCTTTCTGAGCTCAGGGCCTCAGAACTATGAGTAGGGTGATGATCATTAGGCTAGCCTTTGTGTGGGCCCAGGTGCCCTGTTGTTTATCAGAGTCACTTTCTCCCCTTATCTTAATTAGAGATCTAAAAGAAGCCTGATGCTTATTAATTGTACATACACAATTAAATGTGTTGAGATGATAGAAATAATGTAATTTAAAGTAATTTAGAAAGCTTAGAAATATGAAATTAAAATCCATTTAGTCAATGCTTATCATGTACAGACACCTACGTGAGTGGTAGGAGACAAAAGTAACTCCGGAAAGAAGATAAAACAGGACAGCAAATTGAACATCATCAAGCAGCTGTAATAAGTTTTCTAAGCAATGGAGACTAAGATCTTGCATCATACTAAGGACAATAATTGAAAGATCATTTCCTTTGTCTCTCTCCTTTTTTTTTTTTTTTTTTTTTTTTGACAGGCAGAGTGGACAGTGAGAGAGAGAGACAGAGAGAAAAGTCTTCCTTTTGCCATTGGTTCACCCTCCAGTGGCCACTGCGGCTGGTGCACCGTGCTGATCTGAAGCCAGGAGCCAGGTGCTTCTCCTGGTCTCCCATGCGGGTGCAGGGCCCAAGCACTTGGGCCATCCTCCACTGCACTCCCTGGCCATGGCAGAGAGCTGGCCTGGAAGAGGGGCAACCGTGACAGAATCCGGCGCCCCGACCGGGATTAGAACCTGGTGTGCCGGTGCCGCAGGCGGAGGATTAGCCTAGTGAGCCGCGGCGCCGGCCTCCCTTTGTCTCTTGATTAGTACAACTGTATATGTTTCTCACACCTGCTCGGTGTACTTCACCATCAGAATGAAATATAAGGGAACTGGGAAGGTTACAAGGGGTTCAGACATCTAAGCCTCTGCCCATTTTGGAGATCAGATTTAACATGGGTTTTGCTCTGCTCAAGCTTGCCACCCCTTGCTTCATGGAGAAAACTCTCTGGAGGAAATAATTCATATAGCAATTATGGTCTGCATAACTCATCACAAAATTTATTACAGGTAATGACAGAGAAGTGCCTCAGGACCCTAGATAACTGATTAATAAAATCAATACATGATTTTAAGAGAGAATGTTTGAAGGTTTGACTATATATATGTATGTATATAAAATAACACAGGATAGTCAGTAAAGGAATGAATGGTTAGACTGGTTAGATCTGTGTGTGGGCTGCATTAACTTAAAAAAATTCTTTAACTTCTAATTTTGATTTTTAAATTCTCATTTATTAAGATAGACTCTTTTGGTGCATAGTTCTATGAATTTTTTTTGCATCACTAAATTTTATTGGTAGAAGTAATGAACACCTAGGATTCTGAGTGGTATTAGACAACTGGTTGGGATTCAACGAGTACTCAGTGCAGTAGGGGTTTATTTATGAATACTTTCTTTAGCTATCCTTCTTAATGCTCTGGTTTCTGATGTGATTTTCATGGAAATAATCTTTTGAGCTCAAAATGATACAGTTAATTACATTTAGTTTGAATTATAATTGCTTTTGTTACAGGCTTGCTGCATGATTCCTAGTTGGAATTAAAAGCTGCAGTGGTACAGTGGGCTAGTGGCTAGGCCCCCCCTGGCCTTCTAGTTCTTGTGTACTGGCTCATTAGCTAAAATTTGCTATTCATCTTTGGAAGGCTGAATCACGCTTTAGATACATTTTGCCCACCCGGCCTGTAGAGTTTACCCACTGTTGTAGAAAGAGATGATGGCAGTGTATGATGCTGGAATCAGACTACAACAAAGAAACATCTGCATGATGAATAAGCAGCCTGGGTACAAAGGAAGAACAAGTATTGAAGCTGGGCCATTCTTGTCTTGTCCATCTCCTGAGGCCTGGCACAGGGCTCAGTAGGCACTCAATAAATGTTTGCTGTGTGTTGAATAGTGCCATGTTCCCTGTCTGTAAGGAATGTACTATTTAGCATCAACAATATTCTGTGATAAGCACTACAGCAGTGGTAGCATACCTGTGCTAGGGAGAAGGAGCATATATATGTGTGTGTAAGTATGAGTCCGTGCTTAGTCCCAAAGGCTGGAATTAGGTTAGGGGAGGAGTGGGGGCAGTTGTTCCTTGAAATGGCACTAGGGGAAGATAGGAGCAACAACATTTCCCAGAAATTGAGGCCCTGTGTACAGGTGCAAATCCCTGGAGTCAAGAGAGCATCTTTGCATATTTAGGGAGCTACAAATCCCAGAAGGTGTGGGAAGAGCCCCGGAGGCAGGGACAAGGAGGGGAGAGATGATCAAGGATGCTGTGCTGAATTTGATCCTGTCAACAGGTTTTTGGATACCAGAGAAATATTTTAAACTCTGTTGTGGTTTCTAGGAAGGCAGCAGTGTGCAGAAATAAAAGAACTGATGTGTCACATTACTCACACTGCACCTGCATGAAGTGCCCTGGTAATCTTTGCCAGAATTCCTTCCAGAACAATAACCAGGAGCCAGAGGATGGAATTGGGGAATGGTGATGGCAATGAATGGGGGAAGAAAAGAAGGGTCTCAAATGGGTCTTTAGGTACTGAGTTATTATCATTGTTAATGTAGGTGTTTGAAAAATTCACATTATAAAGGTCAGGAATACTTAGTTCCTACTATTTTTGGAGTCCCCAAGGTCAGATGCTTAATTTTATCTGTGTTGTCTCATTCTTTAATTACTTTCTGCCTTCACAGGGGTCAGTCTAAAATGATGTAGTTAGGAGACTTTCAAAATTCCCACCAAATCCCAGGTGTGAAAATTTGGCTATCTTTTTATATCCCACTCCCCATGTTAATGAAAGGTATACCAATAATTGCATCCCCCCAAAGAACAAAGTCCCTGCTTCTGATGTTTAAAACAATCATGGGGGATCTGTACGTGTCTGTCACTATCCTGGACTGTGCACTATTCTTAGCAGGTGACAGCAGCAATGTTATTGATGTTACACAACTGCAGCTGGAAACTTCTCTCAGGAATTGTCACTACATAAGAATAGTAGAACTTACAGTCCACAGCTATAGTTCTGACACAACTGTGCCTTTTTTCTCACCAAGCTAACTTTTAATCTCTCAGATTCTCAGATTCTAGAGCTGTATCAGTGAATGAATCCTGTGTGAGTTAAAGTGGAGTAAGTGTTTCACTGTGCATATGGTGGAACATACTTAAAAGAGGAGAAAGAGAAAAAAATAAGCAAATATGGCAAGGCAGATATAATATTTACTGGTTAGACTGCTGGATTTAGTTCTTACATGTCATTTTGTTCTGGTCATTAGATAAGGAGCCCTAATTTTCAAGGTGCACTTTCCTATTGAAGGGCATTGTATATAAAATCCTTTGGGTTATTAGGTGAAGTAGGAAAGCACATAGCTCAATTCTTAATACTATAAAAATAATATGAAAACTTACTGTGTTTTCAGATTTGGAAATTTATCCCCTTTAAGCAACACTCACCTGGAACACCTCCAACAAACACAGGCTCCCTATGATCAACTGGCTTTGGATTCAAGGGTCCAACCACATGGTTCACCTCCGAGTCTACGTCCAACTGAACCACATTTGAATCTCTAATAACTGAAATGCAGGGAAAGACAGGATGTAAGTGGCACTGGTTCTGTTAATTTTCAAATGGAAAAGACTGCCTAACCATAACTTTCTTTTATGTACTCCAGAATAAGCTCCTACTGTTTTCTATATGACTGAAAACTACAATGTCTAAGCAAGCAATCATTGTAATATTTTCATTGGAAAAGGGAGAATACTTAGGGCACTCTTGGTGCTACCTTTTTGCTCCATAGGTTAGGGTATGATTTAGACAGCCCCTCCAACACCATTTGGCAGCATTCTTATTTTCAAATCACATATGAATTTAATATACAATTTTAGTTTAATAACATCTGATTTTCTTTCTGGCTACTGTTAGACTGTCAGCCATTGCCTATCATGCAAGCTGAAGTATACACTCTGCCAGGCCATCATCCCCAGGCAGGTGTGCAGGCTCACATGTGTGAAGGAAACCTACAGCACTGGGCTTTTCTCACCTGTAATTCTGTGCCACCTGCCGTCACAGAGACTTTGCTTGGGTGTCACTGAGGTGGAGAAGTCTCTGATGCCATTGTTGACCTTCACTATGACCTGCAGAACACAAGGTGCATTAGACAATTTAGTTTCATTTCTGTTCATCATGATAAAACAGTTTCTTAAATTATCTACCATGGGAAGCAATATTTAGGGAAATATCCAAAAATGTTTGGCTTTGCAATTTGAACACAAGGGGTCACTCTTTGGTAGGTGATTGAAATAGTTTAACTGTAGTTCTCCACGGAGACAGAACAAAATAATTACACTGGAGAGAAGATAGGGAGAGAGAAAATGGAGTGTACTGTACAAAGCACGTTTAAAGCAAGGACTGGGAAGTCAGATGGCTTGTCTTCCATTTATCTTACTTTCTGCCTCAGTTTTCTCATTTGTAAAAATCAGAATGATCATAATATTAACATCATAGATGGAGTGGATTGAATGAGTTGATTCATACAAAGCTTTTAGAATGGTAACTGACCCATGGTGAGCACCACATTAAGGATATGTTTTATGGCTTGTTTAATGTATTTGAACTCAAATAAAATCAGTTTTATTAAATTAGAGGTTTCAATGAAATATGCCTTTTCTGTAAGATTTATTTTAATGTTTTCATGAATATTCTTTAGTAATATTTTAAGATGAAAGTAGTATTTAATTATAACATAATTTTGTATTTCTAGCAATTGAGAATAATATACATATGTATAGATACCTGTGTATCTGAGATATGTATGAAATATATACATTTTAGATACTTAGAAAGGTTTTTGTGTTTGTTGATTCTGATATATTTTTGGATATATCTGTTGCTTTCACTTGATAAAAACTTCTCAATTCTTTTGATAAAACTCTTAATGTTTTTACTGGTTATGTTTTGTTCTGTAGCTTTCTCATATTTTCATGACTGTTCTAATCAAATCAACTTCCAACATATGAATTTAAATCAAATATTGCCCACAGTTAAGCATCATGTTACAGCCTCCCTGTTTTTTCTCAGTTATGGAAGGTTGATAACTTTATGAAATAAAAATGTTTTAGATATAAAATCCAAGGGCAGATGAGACATACTGTTAAATTATTTTTTTAAGATATTACCTGTCCATTTTTCATGTGAACATTTAGGTACTCCCCATTGACACTGTGGCCATGAACAAGGGTTCCAGAACTGCTTCTGGGACGGACTTCAAATGCAATTTCAAACTTCAATCCAATATTGAAAGATTCATCTGTGGAGAGAAATACTGTAAGCTCTCAAGATATCCAAATACATTTTATTTTAGCCATGGTGTGACTTTGTTGCTATTCATTTTTGTATCTATCTTTGAAAGTTTGGTGCATTTTTCAACAGGTAAGTAGAAAGTGACATTTACCATGTCTAATTCAAAGTGGAAAGCTCTAGGGGACAAAGATAACATATCACAATTGTCATGGGGCCTAGGTGTGGGGACGGCACACTAAAAATACGCATCATGGGAATTGAGGGGAGGAGAAATTAATTCCAACTGGCAGGACCATTTATTACTTTAAAAGTGAGAAGGACAGGGCAATGTGGGCACAGGAAGGAGTATGAACACAGGCGGAGGTGGGAGTCCTTAGAGACCCTGGTGAAGGTCAGTGTGGTTGGACTGCCATTGCAAGGGGAGGAGGTGTGGAGTAGGGAGCCACACCTAGAAGGGCTCCAACGCTCAAGTATAGAGGTTAGACTTGAGTTTGCAGTCACTGGCCAAATGAGCCAACTTGATCAAACCTGTGTTTTAAAACGATTCTTAACAAAAAACTAAAATTGTGCCAGTGCTGCAGAGCGCTTCAGGGGAGAGAAAAGTGAGAGCAGCAAAAGTATTTAGGAGCTGTTGCTGTAGTGATCCAGAAAATCCTTACTAGGAGTAGCTGTGTTCACTCCAAAGCTGCCAACCCCGGCAGCTTGATAATATTCACTCGACATGTTTCCTTATAAATAATTTAAAAAATTTCCCTGCTATTAGTTAATGTTGTGGAGTGGCACATAAATTGTGAAGTTGGCTATGCATCTCAAGCCCTCCAAACCTTTAGAGTTCTTATAACTGAAATTCAACTAAACACTAAAATAAATGAGTATAGATGCTTCAGCTAGGAGTAAAAGGGGGATGGGACAGGGGAGGAAAAATAAAATCATGAGTTAAATGAAAAGAAGAACTATTACCTCTGGTTATTCTGTTGGACATGGAGGTGGCTAAAGAAAGTATACTTGGTGAAATTGTCATTTATTTATTCAGGCAATGTATTAGTACTTAAGTGCCCTGAGGGTAGAGAACATGTGGTTGCATACCGCTTTCCTATGCATCTCTCCAGCACCTGTTCTAGTACCTTCCTCACATGTAATGGTTGTTCTATGGAATGTTTGTTGGAATGGATTGTATGGTGATTGTGTATAGTCTGCTAGGATTTCATTAATTTTTAGAATTATTATGTTCCATCACCTGGCACAGGGACTGCCATACAGGAGGCATACAATAATAACTGCTTCATCAGTAATGGTTGAGGAGAGTAAATATCCAAAAATAAATTTTCTGGAGGATAATGTTGTTTGCTGGTATTGGAGGGCAGGAGGAGCACCTGCCACCTCTTTTAGGAGGGACACTGGTTCATGCTAAGCGGGGGCAGAGGAAACACCCAGATAAGCAAGATGGCCATGTGCTGACACAGATCATGCCACGGAGCAGCATAGGAAATTCTAAAGGAGTCACGATGGTCTGCATCCAGAAGTTGTGGCATCCAGAGCTTGTGGCAGCTCTGGTCAGGAAGAACAAGCAGATGGGTACTGCACATATGTCTGGAGAGGTATGAGGGGAGAAAGGTGGTTCAGAGGAAAGCAGGCCATCTTATATGGCTGAGTTTGTCACTCTTAAATTTTAACTCTGGATCCAATATTCCCTGTTAGTCATCACCAGGAAAAACACATTTCATGATTGATGTTTTCAACATAAGCCCTGTTACCTAGCACCACGTATCCTCCTTCTGTTGAAAAGTAAGTTCCTGTTTCCATCGGACCTTCAAAACAAGGGGTCACACTAAACGTCTGAGAAGCAGAGGGGATGGAGGCTCCATTGAGCTGGAGGTTGCTGAGACAGCCACTGAAACTGTAGACTGAATTAATCTGAAAGAAGAAAACATTTCTTCAAGTCTGTTTTCTCAACTGTGAGAAATAATCCCGTGGTATATTTTCATAAGAGACAGCCTTGGTGCAGGTACAGATGATGTCAGGCCACAGTAGCACATAGGACAAAAATCCCAAAGTAGGTCACTGCCGAGCTTGCTTTGCACTCTTTGTAACTTTCAGCACTTCTGTAAGCTGTAACCACGCGATGCCTATCACACATTCTGGCATCTTGGTTCCTGGAGCCTTGCTAGCACAATGTTACTCCCCTTCCCCTGTCCTAGATGTGCCCAGCAACTCCCACTCCATTACCCCTCCCTTATTCTGCCTTAGGTGCCATTAAGGTTTAGATGATACCTCCCAAGTTTCTCAACCAGTGAGAAACTGGGGAAGGGACTTCTGCATGGTAGGGATAAAAGGAACGGAATTTCTGAGGTTAGTCCCAGCTTCCACCTGCTGGCCACTTCTCTTGAGACCAGGTAGCAATAAACACCTCACTTTCTGCTTCCTTCATGTTTCTGAGTCCATCCTTTGGTGGAAAAGTGGTCTCAGATGGGCTTATTTCTCACATCAGCTCTTACCAATGCACTGAGGAGAAGCAAAATGATTTGAATCATAGGAGAAAAGTAATCTCTTGTGTTATTTTAGCTATATGAGTAAGCAATACTTTTCCAGATAGTTACTTTAAAAAAAAATTCATTTGAAAGGCAGAGAGAGAGAGAGATATTCCATCTCCTGGTTCACTTTGCAAATGTCCACAAAAGCTGGGGTTGGACCAGCCGAAGTCAGTAGCCTGGAACTCAATCTGGGTCTCTCACATAGGTGGCAGGGGCCCAACAACTTGAGCCATCACTTGCTGCCCCCAGGGTATGCAATAGCAGGAATCTGGAACCTGGAATCAGGAGTGGATCCAGGACTTGAACCCATATGCTCCAATCAATATGGGATGTAGGTACCCAGAGTGCAGTCCTAACCACTGTTGCCAAATTCCTGCGCCCAGGTAGTTGCTTTTTAACTAGTCCTTTGAAACTGGAATTTCTTATTTGAGAACGTAGCCTGCCATAGTTAAGCTATGGAAGTTCTTACTATGACCAAATAATTTGCAGCCATGGTTTTCAAATTGCATAGTGGAAGTATCTTAATTTGTTTCTCTTAACAATGACAGTTATGTCCAACATCACCTGATTCTGATGAGGGCTAGCAAAGTTCTTAAATCTTCCATAGCTAAAGAAACAGCAGAAATCTTACATTTCTGGCTTCATTAATTGTTTTGGTGGTTGCAAATTCATCATAGCACAGGATATGAAACTTGGGCCACTTTAGACAACTAATTTCTCTGTGTTTGGAAATCTTTTACAGAGTTTGTCAGGGCATTGGAACTACTTATCTAAAGTCATATCACAATTTGAACCATCAGCTTTTGCTTCATCTGTATATATTAGGGCTAAAATCAAACCTTATTCCTGTCATAATGACTATTATTCAAAAGACAGAGAGCAACAAATGTTGGCAAGGATGTGGAGAAGGGGGAACTCTGATACTCTGCTGGTGGGAATGTAAATTAGTGCAGAAAACAGTATGGAGACTTTTTTCAAGAACTAGCAATAAATTTACCATATGATCCAGCAATCCCACTACAAGGTGTACACCCAAAAGACATGAATTTCTTCTATCAACGAGATACCTGCACCACCATGTTTAACAACACTGTTCACAACAGCGAAAATAAAGAATTGATGAAGGTGTACATTATCATATGAATGGATAATCTGTGATTATATACATATAAAATGCAATAATATTCGGCTATAAAAATGAAATTCCATCATTTGCAGCAAAATGATTGCAAATAGAGGGCATTATGTTGAGTGAAATAAGACAGGCACAGAAAGACAAATACTACATGTTCTACCTTATATGTGAGACCCCAAAGTTAAAAAAAACTCAAAAAATAAAATAAAAATGAAATGCCTGTGTGTGTCAGGTTTGCTGCAAATACTCTGTTTTGTCAAACTTTGTTTTAAACCTTTGTTAAGCAAACTGCTATGAATCCTATGAAATGAGGACCTGGATTCAATGATTATCTACCTCTCAATGGCTCTATCTTGTCATGCCTGGCGTACCTGAACATTCTTCACAGCCCTTCCAGGAGCCACACCTCCCAAGTATATGGGACCCTTGATTTTCCAGGCTGCTCCAGTAGGAGGAAGACTTTCTTCCAGGACTCGAAGACCATCAATTATCAGCCGGCCACTGCTCTTTTCCCGAATAAATATCACCTGGACAGAGAGAAGGAAAACAGCGCATTTCAGGTCCCTTCCACGACTGGGGAAATGGCTATGTGGCCGCTGGCTCAACTCCATGGGAAATCGGCAGGAAACTCATTTAAAAAGTGATTTCTGCTCTGAATGTCTGGGGTTTGTCTCTTCCTTTGCTTGGCAGGCATCTGGCTAGCTGGTGTTTGGAGTGACAGAAACTTAGTCCCTTATTTGGTTTTGTTTTATAGCCCAGCATTTGACTTTCTTGTGAGCTGTCACCTCATTTTACACGTGCAAGGGTCTTTCTCTAGCCCACATGGAGATTACCACTTTGTGTACTGGAGGAAATGATCCATATACTTTCTGACCTCTACAGAACAATGTAAAGCCATAGGCTGACTTTCTGAACATCACTTATATTTAGCAGAGTTCTCTTTGAAGCTCTTCCCAGTTGTCTAGCCCACATGTTCTCTACTTCTTCAAGCTACTTGTAATTAATCATCATGCATCTTGTATTGCTAATTCTTGTGGTTATATACCCACTATTTCTCCCAATATTTGTCTCCCCTGTGATGTCCTGTCTTCCTAAGTGATTTACCCTTAGCATTGTGTCTTCCACACCTTAGTCTGTAAAAGAGACGCTCAATATTAATTATTGAAAATTGAGAACCAAAAAGGTCAGGTGGAAACATCATTAGAAACTAAGCTTCGGTTTATGTTGGCCTCCTGTTCTGTTTCCAAAACCACTACAATCAGCCTGTGGCTCCTTTAAACTGTATGTGTCAAGCTTTTTATTAGGCATTAATAAGTTTTTGAGACTGAACTCTGAGTTTACAGTAGCAGAATTTTAAAATCAGTTTTTCTAGAGAAGCCAATGGTGGGGCATTAGTGTCAGTCCTTCAGACTCTGGTGGGTATTTGCTGACAGTGCTATTCTCTGCCTTCAACTTACATCATGCCATAATCCATCACTGTATTTCTCCTGGCTTCTAATCTTCAGTTTCTTGTGGCCCACGTTAAACATGAAAACCAAGCGACCGTGTGCTAAGAATAGAGTCATGAAGTCATTCTCTTCTTGATCTGAGACATAGAAAATCATCCCGTGGGAGGAACGAGTTTTCAGACGAATGGAAAACTGAGCTCTGATAAATGAAAAGAGAAAGCTTACATGTAACACAGGACTGAGGATAATCTTTAACTCCTCAAAGCAATTCAGTATAAGGAAGGAGAAATAAGTGGCTATTCTATTTAATCCCAAGCACTATGACTACAAATTATCTCTTAGCATTATTAATGAATATTGGATAATATGGCGAGTTCAAAATTGTAAATTCTTGTCTACTTCCTTACAAACAAGATACATTCCACATTTATGGAAGTTTCATTTCAGTTAAAGAGTTTATCATATCTGGCTTTGCAAATATGCTTGCAATTTAGTGAAAAATTTATACTACACTTGATCTTAGCCAAAAGGCTGAGAAGCGATGTGTGAAAAATTTATATACTAATAGTCTTTTTTATGTGCGCAAAATACTAGTGCACACTTACCCTTGCAGAACAAAATCCTGCATATACTAATTTGCAAGCAAGTAATATTATTTGTGTACTATATAAAATACTGAATATATTTTCCAAGTAAAAATTAACTGACAGATATCACATGTCAAAGGCAGCTACCTGAATGTGTAGAAATTGAACAAAACTGTCTAGAAACTTAGCTCCAGGGTATGGCCAAGATATATTTATTAGGTTTACTTCTGGTTTGATTAATTCTAAATTCTTCCTTGAGAGTACAAAATGCATTCTGCCTGTTAGCTAAACAGCAAACTAGAAGGCATAAGAGGTTCCTTACTGAATGCATTGCCTGAATGAATGTTTTAAAGAGCTATATAAGACCTTTATAAGAATATGTGGGTACTAAAACTATAACTCTTCTGTAATATTAAATAGCCTGGAGGTTTGTGAAGCACTAGGAAGAGGAGATGGGTTTGAGACAGCTGGATGGCCATTGACATACAAGCACATCTGTATTTCCAATGTCTTACTAAACTTGCAACAGTTTGGAAGCCCTCTCATTTATAGTCAGAAAGCAATTTGGATGGGGATAGGAAAGTGCTATCAAGGATAGATGAGGATGCATTTGAAACTTGCCCCATCATCTTTTGCCTTGATTGTCTTTTACTTTTCATCAAACACAGCAAATTGCTGGGAGAATGCTGTTTTATTTGGGGGTGAGGTCACAGAGATGATCATTTCTTGGAAAGCACGAATCATGTGCTAGTTGTTATTGATTCTGAAGGTAATGAAATAGGATTCAGGTGTCACAGAAAGGAATTATAGGAAAAAAGATGTGGCAAACAAGGATGGAGGCCAGCCATGACAGTGAGTTCCTGGAGGCAGAGTGTGTTACTTTACTTTTCACCAAAATCTCCTTTCAAGTGTTCAAACTCTTGGCGGCTGTTGGCTGTCCCTCCGTACTGATAGGCATGCTCTATCGCTCTAGGGCTGCTGGAAAGGTGGCAGTGGGAGTCTCTTGGAGTGTTCCGCTCTAGGAATTTCAGGCCAGCAGGATCCCATGAAGGTGCATCTTTACTTTTCTCTCCCTATAAAAATAGGAAATAATCAAAGTAAAGGATAAAAGTGACATACTAGCAACAAAAATTAATTTATGATGTCCTTACCATTAGTAATAAAAATGAAAAATAACAAAGTCTATATTATTTGTGCATTTCTATTCACTGAGTGTTAGATGCCTCTCTTTTCTTCCCCTACCACCATATACAAATGACAGCAGTAGCTACAGCAGTAATATAGCAATGTAGGAAATTAGTAAACACAAACTCTAGCTTGTGATAGTAAGCAGATTTAAAGTGAATCTAAAGAGACAAAAAAAAGACAATTGCTCTATAATTTACATTAAGCTCACATTTTAAATACAAGTGAATAATGGAAAAGTTGACAATAAAATAAGCCTAGAGAATCAATCAATAAAACTTTCCTCTAGACAACAATATCACTGTAACACAGAGATTATGATTTATACATATTATGTAAAATGTTAACATCATCAGCAACATCTTCAAATACGTAAGAATATGTTCGGTGATAGGATATGTAACCAAATTTTCTGTGACATGATACAGAAGAATTTAAAAATATATCATGCTCTTCAAAATGTACTGCTAGTGCTAAAATTTAGAGCTGTGAAGTTACAGGCTAACATTAATGATCATTTTGTCTTAACTTCTTAAGCAAAATAAAAGTAAGTGCAAATAAGTCAGCATTTAGTAGTTTACAATAAAGTGTTTATTGAGTATTGAATGGTTAGAAGAAAATCATGGTTCTGCAGCCTCCCAGGGTGATATGTGGTGGGGAACAGGAAGATGAGTGAGAAATGATTCCTGTTTTTCTGTTTTTTTTTTTTTTTTAAGGAAATGAAAGTCCATTTGGAGAAATGGCATTTAAATAGCCAACTAGAAAACAGGTTGGTGCCAATTAGAAAGGACCTTAGATGACTTGCTATAGGTTGAGCCATACTGGTTTTAAAAGTGGGCAGTGGCCTTCACTTCAGAAGACTGTAAAGAGGGAAGGGGAGATGCCTGGCAGCAGGCAGGACTGGGCAGCATAGCCCGAAAGAGAGCACAGCAGATGTGGAAGACAGTTTCTGGTTCAGGATTTCTGAATGAACACACATAGTTTCCTAACTCCCACTGAAATGTTGGAAGAACTATACACATAAAAATAAATCTATAGCAGTCCCAGAAATCTAGAGGAATTTCTGCTAGTAGAACAAAGCAATGTGGATTTTACAATGCAGATTGGAACAGATTGATAACAAAGCCCTTAGTCTCACATAAGCAAAACACAAGACCTCCAACATAAACAAACAAAACAAATAAAAAAAAAAACCCAAAGCATATTGTTTTGGCCAAATACCAGAATTATCCTTAAAATCCAGAGGTGGTAGGCAGAAGACTGGGTAAAAACGGCAAACTGAGCTGTGCCAGTGCCAGTGTCCTGCTCTTGGGCAGCAGCCCTTACCATAGGGTTCTGGCAGTGGAGACTGTCACAGTATTGGTGTGGTTGGAGATTTAAGGGAGCCCATCGACTCACATAAACTAAGGGAAAGCCCACCTAGTTCCCAAGTCTCTTCTTCCTTTCCTTACATGGTCATAAGGACCCAGAATCTGATTCAGTACTAAAAAAGCAAGGCTTCCGTCTTGGGTGAACGACATTACTCAATTCCATAATTACTTTTTGGACCAGGATCTCATCTACAATTACTGGCTGTAGCTTCAAGTCATGGGTGGGAAGAATGGGCTGGAGCAGGGCTGCAAGGAGACTCTTTTCCTCTGTTGTGTCCTGGGAAAGTTCCCCCACACCCAAGCAGTACTCCAGTCTTGAACACACCTTATAATGGAAGCCACTACCATCTTCCTTTCACAGAGGAGCCCAGCTGGAAATGCACTGTGCACAGCTTGGAGAATGGGAAGGGAGAGTGCTGGGGAAGATCCCCAGCTGTGGTTGCCCCCTGTTCTCTCCATTTTGATGAAGAGGTTCTTACTCTTCTCATCAGCGCATCCACTTAACCAGAGGTTAAGTCATTGTGAGAAGCAATGACTTAGGCTCCAGGGGCTCAGCAAAGCATGGGGTTATTTGGAACACGATAGTCTCAATTTAGCAGGCTTGCCTTCTTCTGCTTCAATGTGGGAACACATGGCTAGATAGGATCTGAACCTTATCTGTCACAAAATGAATAAACTCTGATCTCTGTTTACACACACACATGTATTTCAACCAAATACTCCGTTAATAATGTTAATGTTAATAATGATAAACAAAAGTTTTAGCTTAGTTACTTCACGATCATACAGTTAGAGACTCAGTTTTCTATACTAAAATGGGTTTGTGTATGGGCATTCTCAATGAATTCTACTTGACTTCTACAAGTGTAATTTTTTTTCTCTATTGGGCCCATTATTGCAATCCCACTGACGGTGCCAATTTCATTTTATAGGTTCTTTTATGTTAGATAACAGCCAAGCTAGTTAAGCTACTAAAGAAAAAGAGCATAATTTGTTATAAGGATATAGAGATACCTTACACAACCAAGAGAAGATAGTATTGTGAGATCCTACCAGGAGCCAGTATCAGGAATCTAAGAGCTAGAAAGAATCAGGGTACGTCCTTTAGAGAAGCTACTGGTACCTTGGCTTTATTTTTCCGAGTGTCTGCTTTTGTTCTTTGTTTGCACACATCTTTCTGCCTTTTACTCTTTCTACAAAGCAACTTGCTTTCTCTGAATATGATTAACATAGAGATCATAGGTTTACATGTTTCCTAGTCAATTGCCAGCTCAGGATTCTGGGTTCTGTGTCCAAGGAAGAGAATTGGTGGCCCTGGTTAGTTCACATGATCTATCCTGATCCAGCGATCTGTATCCAGGGAGGTGAGATCACACACCTAAAAGACAGGGTCTGCCTAGTGTTTTAAAACACAGACCTGTCCAATGGTGCAGTTCTCAGAGAAGAGAGTATATGGCCTGATACTCCACAGTGATGTATATTAGACTACATAAAGTGTTCATTATGACATTAAACAACCAATGAGAAACTATATTCCCAATTGAACTTGAAACATAAAAACTATGAAAAATTTTAAGGCTGGAACATAGGTGATAAGGTAGGCATTTTCAAATACTCCTTGGGAAATATAAATCCTTGTTACTTTTTTTGGAAAGTAATTTGCCTTGATTCAGAGATTCTACCTTTAAGAATCAATCCTGAAAATTTATTAGCAGTATACTCAAAGGTTTATGTACAAGATTCGTCACGCATAAAAGGGAAAGACTGGAAACAACTGAAGGTCTATTAATGGTTTAGTAACTTATAATGAATGCATGAAATGGAGTACTAGGAAGCAATTATGAAAATAAATTATTATAATTCCAATTACTTTGATGTAGCCTTGATAAAAATTTAAACCTGAGGCCACAAGCATTTCTTGGCAACTATTTAAGCAATTGAAATAGGATAACTAGATTAGAAAACCACTGGCTATCTAGTTACCATAAAATATAAGTGAAATATATAGTGCTTATATATCTTGTTATTACTCAGTTGGGAAGTTTCCTTTATTTTAATAAAATAACAAAGCTTATGCTGATATCAAAAAGTTTATGTTAATAGGCTTGTTGATTGTAACTTGAGGAATGAAATGTTAGAAATGACACTTGAAAGCTTCATTTAGAAAACTGTATTCATGTAGAGGGGTAAAGTGTATTGGCTTAAAAGGGTGATCTTCCTCTTCAGCCTGTCATGTTAACCTGCTGCCTATGTCCCACCCACCACTATTCAAGTGTCAGCTAAATAATCCTAAGGACAAATCTTTTAGTATCAATCTATATAGGTGAGTGATTTCATCTGAATTTTATAGTATTCTCTCAAAAATCCTCTTAGGAATTAGTCCTCCAGAAACATAGTGCTTTATAGAATATAGCAGGCAATATGCACTGGATGTTTACCATATGCCTTATACTGTACTAAAGTGCATTTCATGCATTAACTCATTTAATCCTCATTACAACACAATGATACAGATAGTTAAATAGTTAGTGAGCATCTATTGTTTGCAATATTCTAGTGTTTTAGGGAACATCAGTGAACAAAATGAATGAGCTTGTGTTCCAGCAGAGGTGACAGAGAATAATAAATAAATAAATAAATAAAGCCGAATAATAAAATATGGTGTTATAGAAAAGGAACAAATAGGAAAAGGAAAGGGAGACCAGTAGTATTGGTGGGAGGCAGGCTTTGGTATGAAACTGGGGTTCAAAGCAACTCTCATTGATCAGATGAGGGTTGAGTGATCCTAGAGGTAGGAGACATTATCTGTGAAGATATTTGAGGAAGAGTGGTTCAGGCAGAAGCAATGCTCAAATAGAGCCCCCAAAGAAGGAGTGTGCATGGTCTGTTCTAGTAATAGTCAGAAGTCTGGGGAGAAGAGTGAGTGCATTGAGCATTTGGGAAGAGATGAACTCAGAGCGGGAAAGGAGCCTCTCATGAGTTGTAGGGTTGGGATTTTACTCTGAGTGCAGTGGGGAGCTGTATTGAGTAGAAGAGTGACATATGATTCACATGTATTAGGATCTTGCTGTTGGATTGAGGATAGGCTGTCAGGGAGCAAGGTAGAAGCAAGAAGACCTGTTTGGAGAAATTATTGCAGTAATTCAGATGAGAGATGGGCATGGATGGGATCCCTGGCACCTGGGTGCATTGTTAAATCATACCATGAAAATTGTGGGAGGTTTTGAAAAGGGATTACGTGTTTCATTTGTAATGAAGACAAATAATATGCATGCTGGGAATAAACAAATGGGAAAGGATACATAGCAGTCAGAGAAGGGAATTTTAAAACCCAAGATTTTGTTGATGGAGTGCCTCTTGATGTCACGTGTTACCTGTGCACGTGAGTGGATGAAGAGAAGTATAAGGAAGGAGTGGAAAAGGAAGGTAAGGTCACAAACTTTCATAACATCTATGATGGTGACAAACGCCTGAGATCATTACATGGAAGCAAATGATGGGAGAGATTTATAGTACTAAGTATTTCATAGTATATGCTTAAATTGCTAGGCACACAGCAGTTAAGACAACTGTAATGAGAAGTAGTTGGAAGTAGGAGTGAACAGCTTGTTCCAATGGTTTCTTTGAGAACAAGAATGGATGCAACAAAACTGATAAACTGTAATACTGAGGCTGCAAGAATCCTATCTTTCACATGTACACAGCTGCAAACTAGAATCAATTCTACAAAGCAACAGTGTCTAGAGGTGTGTGCAAGGAATATGAAGGCATCAAGCAGATGGCACAGCGCTGTCCTTTACCTTTTTGTTCTGACTGGCTTTAGGCTTTGAGGAATTTTTTCCTTTTTTGTGAAGGAGAAACAATGGTGAAGGTTCAATGGGACACTCATAAAGAGAAGTGTGGACCTTTTCAGAGTACCGCTGGAAATCTTCCACCTCCACATCCCTGTCCGGCCTGTGTTTGTAACAGAGGAAAATACGCTTCAAAAATACTGTTCAGAACTATATTCTGAAAACTATACAGTTCAAAGAACTCTGTCCATTAAAGTGTACGTGTCTTTACCTGTCAACCACCATCGTACCTAGAACTCTTTAAGTTATCATTTAACCAATTGATTCATAACCACCACAAATTGACTATGGAACATCTTTTCCTTTACCGTATTCTGTTTCCTAATGGCATCAGTTAAAGCTGTGCCTTAAACTAAAGAATCGTTTCTCAAACCTCTAACAAGGTGTTTTTTTTTTTTAATACTTACTATTCCATTAATTTAATATTTTTATCTCACTGTATGCCAGGCACTGTGCAAGTTCCTTTTATGTGCCTTTTCTTATTCATCCTTTATAACAAGCTACCAAACAGGCACTATTATTATCTGCATTTTTCAGGTGAAGAAATGAAGACTTACCTAGCCATGGCTATGCAGAAATTAAAGGACAAAAACCCAACACACAAACCCAATTATGTCACTTGCTCAAGCATATAGAAGCTTTTAATTACTACCCTCTAATGCCTTGGATAAATTTCATTGTTGTCAGTTTTAATAATGTAAATATTTTCACAATTGTCTGGATCTTCTTTATGAATCATGTAGGTTTGTTAGTGACAAAAAATACAAACCAACATACCTGGTAAAGTAGGCATTACTTATGCAGCCGGTGAAATTTGCATACTGGGGACTGATGGGTGAGCCACCGAAGTAGAACTTCTTTTCCCCTGTTTGTGTGTGTTCTGCTTTCCCTTTGGTAGGATTCTTACTCCCAAGTCTGCTTTTGTCTACTATCAGTTCATATCTGCAAGAGAAACAGTTTCTTTAAGTACTACACAGCTAACCTCCGACCTCGAGTTCCACTCCAGGTTGGGCAAGGGGGTTCTCTCACAGAGTTCATGTGAAACTTCTGGTGAATGAAAACACACTGACCTCCAGACTCCTCATGAGGCACAGCAGGAAATGGTCCAGTGTTTCTATAGACAAAGGCCCTCCAGACCAGAGGGGAGTTTAAACCCATACAGCAAGATGTTCAGATGAGCAGTTATCAGCATGTATATATTTGAGTGTGTAACATGGCCTGGTGATCATCTGATCATCAATCATGTGTGTGAGAGGTGAATTTCATAGCAAACACATTGGGTAGTTTTGTCCTGGTTGGAAGTGGAGTCTAGAAACAGTCTACTAACATTATCTTTTGGTGAGTGGGCTCCACAGTGGGAACATAGAATGGCTGTGGTCTCTAACAGTAGTTTATTTTTTTTTATTTCAAAATCTTTCTTGTGATGAGAAAGAAATTTAGTATTATATATCTGAAAGATAAAGTCAGTGGGTTTTTTTTCTCTTTTGTTTATATCAGAGGACGAGAGAGAGAGAGAGCGTGAGAGCAATATCTAGAGAAAATGAGAGGGCTCCTATTCACTGGCTCATTCTTCAAATGTCCACGATGGCCCCAGGGGCTGGGAAATCAATTTAGGTCCCCTATAAAGGTAGTAGGAACCCAGTTACTTGAGTTGTCACCACCGACTCACAAGGGTCTGCTTTAGCAGGAAGCCGAAGTTGAGAGCCAGAGTCAGATATTGAATCCAGGCACTCCAAAATGGATGTGGCACTGGGCCAAACAGCTGTCTTGCAAGAGCTTTTAAAATGTGGCTATCAATGCAGCATCCTCAATTGTTTAGTTCAAAATCTAATCAAGACCAACATTTGCTGAACTCTGTGTGCGCAACACACTGCAGTCCACCTAGTAAGCAGTGTGAATAGGCACTGACTCAGGGATATGGCTTATTGTTTTATATAAAAAAAGAAAATAGACTTTATATGGTCATTTATTTGGCTTGTCTTGAAAATTAATATCTTAAAAAAAATCTAGTATGAGGCTGGTGCCATGGTGTAGCAGGCTAAGCTGCAGCCTGCAGTGCTGGCATCCCATGTGGGTGCTGGTTGGGGTCTTGGCTGCTCCACTTCCAATCCAGCTCCCTGATAATGTGCCTGAGAAAACAGTAGAAGATGGCCCAAGTGTTTGGGCCTCTGTGTTCACATGAGAGGCCCTTGGGAAGCTCCTGGCTCCTGGCTTTGGACAGACCCAGCTCCAGCCATTGTGGCCATTTGGGGGAGTGAACCAGTGGTTGGAAGATCTCTCTCTCTCTCTCTCTCTCTCTCTCTATGTAATTCTGTCTTTCAAATAAGTAAAATACATTTTTTATTAAAAAAAAAAAACACCCAGTGTACTGTCCCTTCCATCACTTTTTTTTTTTTTGACACTAGAAAAGTGACAGACAGCTGCATTTGATAGAATTGTGCCCTGCAGGCTGAGAGGTGTGGTGGGAAGGACGCAGAGTGGGGCACTGGGCTTACCTTGTTGGGGAGACAGAGGTGACGATGAAGTGGGAGAGCCCATCGTTGTACTGCTTATCTGCTGACTGAACCTTGGTGCCCTTTACGTCCATGACGACTGTGCCATTATCCAGTGAAACGGAAAACACGTCGGACTGGAATGCAAGCACAGCTTTCATGTAGGAACCCCAGGGATCCCCAAGAGGGACACAGTTGCAATATTTACTCAATGATGTTACTTAAGGGAACAGACTTTGCTTGTAAAGTAAGTTATGAATAACAGTAACAACATAAAAAATGCTGCAATTGTAATGGTTTCACTTATAAAATCAGAGGTATTTCTGTAGAAAAGGAGAGTCCCCTATATTTAGAACTGAAAATTTTTGGTGATTCTGTCATACTCAGAGTTGTCCAGTTTCAATTATTTTGCTAACTTGGCATGTCTATTCCATCATCCCCTTGAATACTTTTTTTTTTTTTTTTGGACAGGCAGAGTGGACAGTGAGAGAGAAAGACAGAGAAAGGTCTTCCTTTGCCGTTGGTTCACCCTACAATGGCCGCCGCGGCCAGCGCGCTGTGGCCGGCGCACCGCGCTGATCCGATGGCAGGAGCCAGGTACTTATCCTGGTCTCCCATGGGGTGCAGAGCCCAAGCACTTGGGCCATCCTCCACTGCACTCTCTGGCCACAGCAGAGAGCTGGCCTGGAAGAGGGACAACCGGGACAGAATCCGGCTCCCCGACCGGGACTAGAACCCGGTGTGCCAGCGCCGCAAGGCGGAGGATTAGCCTAGTGAGCCGCGGCGCCGGCCCCCTTGAATACTTTTTAAAAAAATTTTTCCCCAAAGAAACCTTTGATTTAAGGAATACAAATTTCATAAGTACAACTTTAGGAATATAGTGATTCTTCTCACCATACCTGCCCTCCTACCCCTTCTCTTACCCCCCTCCCATTCTCAGTCCCATTCTCCACTAAGATTCATTTTCAATTAACTTTATACAAGGAGACCAACTCTACCCTAAGTAAAGATTTCAACAATTTGCACACACATACACACACGCACGCACACACACACACATAGTGTGGGGAGCAACCCGGACTGGACTGAGTTACTGGAATTAAGACTTATTCTATGCATCTGCTCTCCCACAATATGGCGCTGGGAGAGAAGAAAGCAGCTTCTACGCAGCTGCCTCTTGCCAACTTGAGTGATGACCTCCAGGAGCTGATCTTGCTCCTGATTGGAGGAGAGCAGCGTGCTCGGCGTGTGGGCAGCCGAGTTAGGATTGGCGGAGGAGGACTATAAAGGAGGAGAGAGACAGCATGCACCAGGAACATCTAAGGGGAACATCTATCTGAAGGAACACCTGTGCAGCCCCCGAGAGAGCTGGCCGGCGGTGTGCCGCTCCCCTGCGGAAGTGGGGAAAGTGGCCAGGGGGAACCGCCCTTCCACGGAGGTGGAAGGGACAGTAGCCAACCCGGGAAGAACCAGCAGCAAACCCGGGGAGGGCCGAGCAGACGAAAGAACAGCGCAGGGTCCTGTGTCGTTCCTCCACGAAGACGGGGAGCGACAACATAGTTGGAGAACAAGTTTCACAGTTAATTCTCATAATACAACTCATTGAGGACAGAGGTCCTGCATGGGGAGATAGTGCACAGTGACTCCTGCATTGATTTAACAATTAACACTCTCATGTATGACATCAGTGATCACTATAAGTACTATGTATGACATAAATATGTCAATGATCACCCAAGGATGACCATAAGTAGAGTGTATTTTTCTCTGAAGGATAAGAGAACTTCCATGTTTCTTATGGCCTTGTCTAAATACTGACAGTGTTTGTGGACTCAGAAGGCTTCCATAGCCTTGGCAGCTTACATCAAGAGCCTTAGGTGATCTTTGATGTCATTGAAATAACATCTTATAGCTGAGCTTGTGTTCATTAGGAAATCCAAAAACAGAGAAATATATCTGTTCTTTTTACTCTTTTATAAATTAAATCACAAGTGTATTTGTTCTTAGTATGCAAAAAAGGGTTCTTAACGTTTTTGTGCCATAGATGCCTTGGCAGGTTGGTATTACAATGGGTGTGATATGCTATGATATAGTGATTCATATTAAAGCGACAAATAAGGTCTAGGAGCAGATCTAATAACTAGTGAAATTTAGAAGCAGCAAGGAGCAAAATGGACATTTTGAGATATATGTGAGAACTGTAATGTGAATCAAAAAAATCTGTTTCTACACATGACAAGGTCACAAGTACTGCTAATACTGCTGTAGTCTGTTGCCGACATTCATATTGGAAGAGAATGATAAATTTAAGTAGAGAAAACAAAGGTGTAATTTTTTTCCCATTCAAGTACACAGATCCCTTGAATCCTATCCAGATAGATAGACAGGGATGAGTTGATGAATCTCAGGCTAAGAACTCCTCATGTACTATATACATTATTCATACATTACGCACACACACACACACACACTTTACAGAATATCTGAAATGAGGCTTACTGTATATCTACATGTGAGTCAAAATTAATCTTCATAGAAAGTCACTGTTAACACACATAAAAATTATTTTTAATAGACAAAACAATTATCGCTAAGACATTTCTTTGGGAAAAATCAAATACTTACCCCTGAAGAATAATAGAATAGTAACCCATTTGGCTGTAATGTGCGGAAATTGAAACCTCCTTCAAAGCCATCAAAGAAAGATATTTTCTGAGTTGAAGCAATGAAACTCTGTCCATTGAAATATGCTCTGCGAGATATCTGTGTGATAAAAGTGAATATAGGGTATTTGTTAATTTTCAAATGCTTATAATGTCAATTTCTCATATACAAAAAAGCCTTGCCTGTTAGTGTCTATATAAACGGTTTATGGTTCGACCTTACAGTTTTTGCTAGAATTCAGACATGCTAGCCTTTCTTCTGTGTTCCTCTAACAGAATGGGTTTCGGCTTCTCCAACCTCCTCTAAGCTGAGCACGCAATGATGCTCACTTGAGCAACCTCTCTAGGCTCTGCAGGGTTCATCATAGAAAACTGAAGCAACTGGACAAGTCATGGAGGAGCCCTACATACCTTCCTAGCTTAACGATTCTTCTTTCTGTTGGTGGCAGAAAGTAGCTCAAGGTGTTACCAAGGATCACAGCAAAGCTGAAAAGAGCTTTGCCAGCTTTAGAGAGTGAGAAGTGTTGTGTCTATTTATTAAAAAGGGTTCCACTGAGTTGTACTTACAAGAGAGTCCTCTGGACATCCATATCCAACCCCCAGAGTTTCTGTCTGCTCCAGTAAATTGAAATCTTTCTTTTGGAACTGGAAACCTTTCATGCATCCTCTGAAGTTAATATCTAGAGGCAGGTGTGCTCTTAGGGTCCTGGAAAAGCAAATCAGTCTTCACTAATACAGCTGTGATGATGGTACTAAGGATACGGTTACCCTGGAAATGTAGGCTATGGAATTTGAGTTTCTATAGTCACTTGTAATGGCTTTACATTGGTTCATCTTTCATGCTACTTTTGATAAGCATGTGGTAATACCTGATCTTTGTCTATAGCAGAGTTTTGTTCTGAGTTAAGCCAATTTGTATATTTCCTAAAAGCCTTTTGAATTTCATTACCTTATTTGATCATTTTAAAATTCCAGTGCAGTGAGATAGATGGAGAAGCTATTATTTCCCTTTTACAGATGATTATAAGGGTGAATCTCAGGGAATTGACATTGTGGGTCAAAAATAGTCAACTCTAGGCAATTTCACTTGGTTTAACATGAAACTAAGTAGTAAATTATTCTATAATGTCACAGTGGTAAATTAGAATTTGAATCCAAGTCTCTAGACTCCTGGTAATTCACTTAGGTAATGAACCCATCTTTTTGTCTTTATTGGCAACACACTGCATTTAACCAAGGCTGGAGGAAAGTCTCAGCAACTGTTGGACTTTTGGATCAATAAAAAAGTATTCTTAAGATTAGGGATGGTTTTATGCTCAATGCTGAAATCCTGTGCCTGTCATGCCTGATATATAGGAGATGTGCAAGAACATGTTATTGGATATTGAATGAGTGTAGAGTTAGTTCTGATCCAAGTACCGGGGTCTCAATGAATTTTGAGATGAACACCAGTCAAACTAAAGAATAACAGCCCCACTGTATTCTGCTCTGACAATATTACATCCAGAGGCCCGTGCTGATTGACAAGTTGGATGCATACAATGGTAACCATAGTGGTGAAAGGTCCCATGTGGCATCCTGGGAGGAAGAAAAGAGAGTGCTGGGACAGGGAGCTTAAGGAGTCTTCTTTAAAAATGAAGCATTATAATTTATAAATAGGATGCATTGGTTTTGGCTCAAGATAAGGAACAGCTTTATAATAATTGAAATAGTTAAATGATTATGTTTTCCCTCTGAGGTAATCATATGTATGTATCATTTATTTAAAAAGAGGTATGAGTGCTAAGGAACACTGGCATTTCTATATTGGATGAGGGATTGGACTCTATCAGCCATTCTTAACTCTGGATGCTGTGGGGAGCAATTCGGACTAGACTGAGTTACTGGAATTAAGACTTATTCTATGCATCTGCTTTCCCACAATATGGCGCTGAGAAGGGAAACAGCTTCTACACAGCTGCCTCCAGTTCAACCAATAAACTGTGGGACCTGCTCCTGATTGGAGGAGAGCAGCATACTCGGCGTGTGGGCAGCAGAGTTGGGATTGGCGGAAGAGGACTATAAAGGAGGAGAGAGACGGCATGCACCAGGAACATCTAAGAGGAACATCTAAGGGGAACATCTGAGGGAACACTTGTGCAGCCCCCGAGAGAGCCGGCCGGCGGTGTGCTGCTCCCCCGCGGAAGTGGGGAATGTGGCCAGGGGGAACCGCCCTTCCACGGAGGTGGAAGGGTCGGCAGCCAACCCGGGAAGAACCAGCAGCAAACCCGGGGAGGGCCGAGCAGACAAAGAACAGCGCAGGGTCCTGTGTTGTTCCTCCACGAAGACGGGGAGCGACATAATGGTGCCGTGACTCGGATAGGAAACTTAGGAGGGAAGAAACGGGAAGAAGTGGGAAAATACCGGAGAGAGACACTAGCAAAGAGCCTAGGTGCCGGAAGAAGCTATTGAAAGCCTAGGCATAGACTCGGATATGGACTGTGGGAAAGAAGTTAGGATTGAAAGCGAAAGTGAAAGCTTTCATAGACTCGGATGCGGACTATGGCGGGGAAGCTAGGAGATTGAAAGCGAAAGTGAAACCTGGAGGAGGCTTGGACTCGGATATGGACTGTGGGAAAGAAGTTAGGATTTAAAGTGAAAGCAAGAAGAAACTTAGACTCAGATACGGACTGCAGGTTGAAAGTGAAAGTGAAACCTATAAGAAACTTAGACTTGGATACGGACTGTGGGGAGAGGCCAGGAGAAATGAGGGAGGAATATTGTTGGAAGAAAACTTAGGGAAACATACCGGGTAGAGAAAAATGTTAGGGAGGATGAAGCCGCGAGTGCAGGCCAAGCCATCTTGGAATTCTTCAAGTTAGCCCGGGGAGCAAGAGGCGAAGATCTGGAACCAGAAGCAGAGACGTGGGCCGCCAGGTTGGAATTCGCCAGGTTAGTCCGGGGAACTTGGACTGAATGCCGGTGGTGGCGGAAACATTCGCGGAAGCCGCCGCGTGCAGAGAGAGCACGGGGCGTGAATAGATAGGGAACGCGGGGCTGGCGCGAGGCCGTGGTGCGGGCGCAAAGTGCGTGGAGACCGCGGAGCGTGCGCGCGAAGCCGAGCCGCGCAGAGCCAGGAGCCCGCCGGCGGGGCGAGGCGCCGGGAAGCCGCGCAAAGCCGGGAAGCCGCGCAGATCGGAGAAGCACGGGCTGAAGCGGCTCAGAGCCGGGAAGCCGCCGAGAAGCAGTCTCGGGGCGGGCGCCGGGAAGCCGCAAGGATAAGAGAAACAGAAGTTTAGAAGTAAAATGAGAGAAATAGGAATGTTGGCAGATAGAAGTAAAATGGGAGAAATAGGAATGCCCGGAGATAGAGAAATAGAGAAATAGAAAGGCCTCCCCACAATACTGCAATGAGAAGGCTTGGATTCGGTCTGCCTGATTAGTGAGGCGATGAGCACCTGCGGGCGGCTAGCAGCTTATGCGCCGCAGGTCACCGAAGACAGGCACGAATTAACATCAATAAGGCCTCCCCACAACACAGCAATGAGAGAGCTTGGATTCGGTCTGCCTGATTAGTAAGGCGGTAAGCACCAGCAGGCAGCTCGACCAGAGTATGAGCTGCAGGTCACCGAAGATAGGCACGAACCAACACTAATAAGTCTCCCCCACAATACGGCAATGAGAAGGCTTGGATTCGGTTTGCCTGATTGTTAGGGCTTGTAAGCCCCTGCGGGCAGAGCAGAGCATGCGCTGCAGGGCACCGAACACAGGCACGCATCAGCGCCTAAAAACCTCCTCACAACATGGCGAAGAGAGGACCCGCATTCGGTTTGCCTGATTGATAGGACTTGTAAGAACCTGTGGCAACTCTAGCAAGTAGAGCAGAGTGTGTGCCGCGGGACACCGAAGACAGACATCAACGCCAAAAAATAAAAAGAAAGGGGGATCTGTGGGGAGCAATTCGGACTAGACTGAGTTACTGGAATTAAGACTTATTCTATGCATCTGCTTTCCCACAATATGGCGCTGAGAAGGGAAACAGCTTCTACACAGCTGCCTCCAGTTCAACCAATAAACTGTGGGACCTGCTCCTGATTGGAGGAGAGCAGCATACTCGGCGTGTGGGCAGCAGAGTTGGGATTGGCGGAAGAGGACTATAAAGGAGGAGAGAGACGGCATGCACCAGGAACATCTAAGAGGAACATCTAAGGGGAACATCTGAGGGAACACTTGTGCAGCCCCCGAGAGAGCCGGCCGGCGGTGTGCTGCTCCCCCGCGGAAGTGGGGAATGTGGCCAGGGGGAACCGCCCTTCCACGGAGGTGGAAGGGTCGGCAGCCAACCCGGGAAGAACCAGCAGCAAACCCGGGGAGGGCCGAGCAGACGAAAGAACAGCGCAGGGTCCTGTGTTGTTCCTCCACTAGACGGGGAGCGGCAGATGCATAGTAGAATCAACCTTGGGGAGGTTCTCCTTTGTGTGTGTGTGTGTGTATGTGTGTGTGTGTGTGTGTGTGTATATATATATATATAAATTTTTTAAATAGTACGTTGGAGCCTTATCCTCAGGCCAATTAGAATTTCTAGAAAGTGTTTATGAGCAATGACTTTTCTAAAGCTTTCTAGATTATTTCAATGAGAACCATAGTTGGGAACCACTGAATTGGATTATTCTGAAGTTGCCTCTCAATTTTAAGGTCTCTAACGCTGTTAATTAATTCACTGGAATATGAGATGGTAGAATTTTTGAGTATTTTAGGATAATGTCTCATTATATATATATCCACAACCATTATATATATAATCTACAACCTTTTGGATAACCTTGAAAATTTTTTGTAACCTCAGATGCTATTGGAGAATTCAAAATATGTTTAAGGCAAAAACAAAGATAAAGGGACATAATGCTGCTTTGTCTTCACATAATACACGCACTCTGTCCTTCCTCTTGTTGATGACAAATAGCACATCAGACCTTACTGTAAGAGTAATACAATAATAATAATGGAGGTTTCGAGTACTGACTGCAGAGGCCAGGGGATACTTGAATGTGTGTGTTTGCACATGTGCATGTGTGTAAGTAGCAAGTAGCAAGCAGGTACTTGAACCAGTTCCTCTACCTCACCTGGATATTAAATATTCAGCCCACACAACATTAGGAACAAATAGCTAGTTAGCAAGGAACCTTACCTGGATTGCAGTATCTCTGGGGGAGCTCCTCCAATGTATATATCTGTAAAAGGTATTTTCATCTTTTCATTATCCATGCTCTTGACATGTCGTCTGTCAACTACTAAGATCATTTTCTTATCATTGTGGTAAATGATTGAGATCTGTGAGAAGTCATATACAGTAATACACTGTTTAATAATAACCAATAATATACTGTTTAATAATAATCAGTGTTTTGAATATTTTTATATATTTTAATTATTCTGGATATAAAAGCAGGTCCTCCATGTCTTTATGCTTTCTTCCTCCACAAAACAAGGAATAGATTTTTCCTTTCTTTTCATAGATACGAAAACTCTTTCTTTCTACCATAAGCAGTGAACACTTTTTTATGGAGCAGGAACTAGCACAAGAAAAATTTTGCCATGAGATCTACTTTTCCCTCCAGTCTTTTGGGAAGGAATTACACACGTCTTCTTTTTTAAAAGCAGTTTTTTGAGGTACAACTGATATATAAAGAATTACACATATTAAATGTATACAACTTGATGAGTTTGGACATGCAAACACCTGTGAACATGACAGACATATCCAGCATCTGCCAGAGTGTTCTTGTGGCCCTCACCTTTTTGTGCGTGTATTAAGAATGCATAACATGAGACCTACCCTCTTAGCAAATGTTGAAGTGAACAATACCATATTGTTAACTATGGGCACTATATTGTATAGTAGATGTCTAGAACTTATTTATCTAGCATAACTGAAACTTTGTACCCATGAAACAACATCTTTTCATATCCCCTAACCCACCAGCCTGTGGCCACCACTATTGTAATTTCAGGCAGGTGCCTTCTGGATGGCAGACTGCATATTACTAGCTATTATCCTTAGTGACATAATGAGCAGCTCTAATGAATCTGAGGAAATGCTAGTCATAGAAATATTCAAAATATTCTCCTTTTATTGTAAAATGTCCTCATGAAGGTCATGGACTTAGAACTCAAAAGGGAAATATAACCTATCTACTGTATCTTAAATGATATTATGCTTTATTAAATTGTAGATTTGAAAGGAGCTGCTAATGAAAGCAGTTGAAGAATATTATCAGTTTAGTTCACCCTTTGGGGTTATCTGTGTAAAGAAAAGTGGGTTAGCATTTTCTAAATCTTGGCTATACAGTTTAAAAGAAAATTTTGTTTACTTATATGTTCTTTTTTTACATTTAGAGGGGATCAAAAGATAAATATAAAATGACTGCGTATCTTATCTACACTCTAGTATTTTCAACAAATGAATTGTAGGTAGGATTCCATAGCAGTGCCACTGTCATCGAGCTATTTAGCACTCACAGGAGGCTTTTGGTCAATGAAACAATTAAAAGGAATCTTTCAGGGACTGTTTTATTAGACCCGTCAGTATGACAAAAATGTCCATTCTTATAAAGCAGGTGTTTTCCTGGGGTCTCTGAGCAGATGAGGGTCCTCCAGGTGCTCTGATGTGAAAGTGTTCAGTTTAATCACATCTTGCCTACTTCACCTGACCGCCTGATTAGATCAATAGGGTTGAGAATAAAGAACAAAAACAAAACCACCCAAACTAGAGTAATTCGTACCTCGTGGTATTTTGCATCACTAATTAGAGCTTTCTTCAACGTGTCTTCAAGATGTACAGGGCCACTGCTAAATCCAAAGTCATAGAACACATGCAGGTAACCATTGCGCATTTCTAGGCTGAAAAACATACTCTGTAGAAAGAAAGAAGTGATAAGATGGGAACATCTGTTATCATGAACGTGGAGTTGGATTAAGCTGAATGTGAGAAATAACACTGTATTCTCTATTACTCAAATTATTTTAAGACTAAGAGGGTCTCATCAAATTTTTACTATGAAATAAAAATGACAATTACTTCCATATCAGCCACTATGTCTTACAAGACTATACAAAAGTATTACCATCACACAGTTTAAAATAACCATCTTCATGTTCTTATTCTATTTTATAAATAAGTTTTCAGTCTATATTACAGACATTTTAAAGGCTTTAAAATATTATAATATATCATATTTGAGGTCATTTAAAAATTATATCAGATTAATAGATGCAATTTCATTCATTTTAAGATAAAAATTGGCAATATTGAAAATCGACCTCAAGGTATACTGAAAAGAATCCTTCCAAATTATCAGCAAATATGGATTTAAGAAGAATGCCATTTCTGTATTATTTTAAAGCATTGAGTTTATGTAAATAAATATGAAATTATTATGCACTTGGACTACATGATGTTTGAAACCAACAACACAATTCTGTAACATTCGAGTAATTTACTAGTCAACTTTTCTTGTTTCAGAAAATATTTCAAAGAGAACAGAATCCAATAGATTTGAAAGTAAAGTATTGTAGTAAAGTCCCTATTGTACAGAAAACAATCTCCTGCATCATTTGTTTGCCCTGGGAGTGTGGCACACGATCCATTGAGTTTAAGGAAGAAAATATTTCAGCTTCTATTTATACTCATTTAAAAAATTTAGGGTCGAGCAAGACACCAATCTTTAGTGCTTAACACGTGGATTACTGACTCAGGCCTTATTTCATCCTTTTTGTCAGACTTTTCCAGGATTCACATGATAGGTGAGGCTTTCTGAGTGCAGTTGCACACGTTACTCCTTGCCCATGTTTTTGCTTTTAGCTTATTGCAATTTACCTGCAGCTTTGATTGCCTAATTCCATGGATCTATGGGGGACGTGACTTCATAATGGGGGATTTTTGCAATGATTTTGCACTGATATGCAGAGTGCAATGACAGTATTTTAGGACCGATGACAGTATTTTAGGACACATACTGTTTGCTGATTACTTCCTGCAAATTACTAATAGTGCTCTCAAGTGTAAAGAGGGTTACACCTTTTTTAAGAACTTTATTGGTGATGAGAAATGTCTTTCAGTAATACAAGATCTATTTATTACTTTAAAAAAATCTGAAATATCAAATTAAGGGTATTATAACAATAGCTAAGAAAGTAGCTTATTCCTTTTCTTTAAGAAGGTCATACTGAGGAGAGACTGTTTTTTAAAAGATATTTGGAGCCGGCGCCGCGGCTCACTAGGCTAATCCTCCGCCTTGCGGCGCCGGCACACCTAGTTCTAGTCCCGGTCGGGGTGCCGGATTCTGTCCCGGTTGCCCCTCTTCCAGGCCAGCTCTCTGCTGTGGCCAGGGAGTGCAGTGGAGGATGACCCAAGTCCTTGGGCCCTGAACCCCATGGGAGACCAGGAGAAGCACCTGGCTCCTGGCTCCTGCCATCGGATCAGCGCGGTGCGCCGGCTGCAGCGCGCCGGCCGCAGTGGCCATTGGAGGGTGAACCAACGGCAAAGGAAGACCTTTCTCTCTGTCTCTCTCTCACTGTCCACTCTGCCTGTCAAAAAAAAAAAAAAAAAGATATTTGGAAAATTTTCGATTGTTATATGAGTTTATTGAAAACTATGTTAGTATGTTATCTATAAAAACTTTCAAATCTGCCTTTAAAAAAAAAGCCTTTGTGGGAAGAAATTTCTAACTTGTTTAAAAATCTTTCAAGGGAAGATTTTCAATGGCTCTGAACCCTTTCATTAAAGTTTACAAAATGATACAATATCTGATTAACTTGTAAGAACTGACATCAGATGAAATGTACCAGTCAAGTTTCTAACACAAACTTTTAGAGAATGAAAATGATGTGCAGTGTAGTAGGCACAGCCAATGATATACTTTTCACTTTTTTTTTATTTTTGTAAGGTATCTTATTCAGTCATGAGAGCCAATAAAACTTAGTGTGGAAATAAACTGGACTTAGGACAAGATTTTAGAATCATTGTAATCACAAAGAGTTTAACAAGACTGTAAAGATATTTAATATATTTAATTACATTGTTATCACTAACACTGCTATTAACAATAATTTTAATGGGAGCAAAAGGGTTTGTATCATTAACAAATAAAACTAATTTAATTTATTTCAACTTTATTTTAAATATTTAATATTTTATTTCCTTTTATAGTTTGCCTTTTATTGCTAGTTTTTATTGTTTTATACCATAATTATATCTATGTATCATTTTTAAAGATTACATATAGCTATATCTGTCTATTTAAAATGTAAGCCCTTTTTATTTTGATTAGGGCATGTGACATAGAAAGGTTAGGAGACCAATGTTAAGTTTCTTTAGGCACAGGGTTCACTTAGATCCTGGTACAGATTTTTCTCAAGTTTCCCTTAGGTTACTACAGGGCATATTTGATATACATCTAAAATGTGTCATGAGGAGCAATGCATTTCAGGGCTGCTTTTATTTATTGCTGTCATCACTTTTCCCCAAAGGAAAAAAAAATCCAATTTTGCTTTTTAAACTATAAATTCAATGTGATGGCATGACACACTCAACCCGGGTAGGTTCCTGGAAACAACAGAAAGCAAGGGAAATAAAAGAGAAGTAGGACTTTTATTTTCACTCACTCCATTGACCATCAGGAGCACAAGGCCATTGTCAGCTGGGGTTCGGACTTCTATGTCAAAGCGAGTCACCTGACCAAATTTCCCTCTCCTGGTGATATCCCTCACCACGGCGTAACTCGAGCCATCGAAGAAGTAGCTGGCAGCCCGGCTCTGAGTGAAGGCCAGTTTATCCCTGGAATGGAGACACGAGGGGCACATGCACAACAGCTTCTATTACACTTCTCGAAGGAGGCCCTTTGCACCCACCCTCAGAACGTCTTCCATGGCATTTTATGAGGTCCAATTGTGTGCATGGAAGAGAGACAAAGTACTCAGAGGCAAGTTAAATGAACTGTTTGTAATGGATTTCTTCCATACCCTATATGCTGAGACAGTTGAAATCTCTGAGGAAACCCCAGCCTGGAATCCTAAGTCAAAGCTGCAAACAAGTTAACACTTAGCATTTGTGTGTGCTCATCCATGATAGAGAAAATCTGAAGTTTTTTGCAGGTGTGACTCTTGTGCAGTTTCAAAGCTGGTTTCCCCCAAGAAAAATCTGTGAACCTGACTTTTTAAGGAAATTATTTTATCTATTACAAAGGCAGAGTGACAGAGAGGGAGATACACAGATTTTTCCAAATGTTGGTTTATTCTCAAAACGCCCACAACAGCTGGGCTTCGGCCAGTAACACCAGCTGGGTTTCTGAGGCGGATGGCAGAAACCCAAGTATTACGCCTCCCAGGCATGTCTGTAGGAAGCTGGGTCAGCAGCGGAGGTGGGCCTTGACACTAGGCACTTGGATAAAGAATGTGGGCATCCCAAGCGGTAGCTTAACCCACTGCAGCGTAACACCCACTCCCGAGAACCTGCATGTTGGCTACACGTGTCCTGTCTGATGCTCTTGCATGAATATAAGTCTTTATAGTGTCCATAAATGGCTCTTACCTGGCACAGGGCACTGACTTGGAGGGATCCATGTTGTAGATGTGCTTAAAGTTGTATAAGCTGATCACATCATTATTCAAAGTGGCCAATTCCAGGCAGCCAGAGAAGCCAGGCAGGTTTAAGCTGGCAGGAAGCTGTGCAACAGACAAAGTCAAGTCATCTTCTCCATGTAATACTTCACCCAAAACAGACAAAGAAGCTAATAGCATGTCAAGGCAACCTACCCACTGAGGTAGTGTTTTCTGGGACCCGAGTTTGTGTCTATTTTATTCCAGATCATTTAGAAAAACAGTGAGAGTTGTGCATATCTCAGTAGAGAGGGTAGATTTATGGAGCATGGGCTATGTGCCAGTCATATGCTGGGCAGTGACTTCGTGATAAAAATCACTCCTCACACCAGCTCTGTGAGGCAGGCATTCCTGTTCTCACATAGAGAGAGGGAAACTAATTCTCAGAGAGGTTTAATCATTTGTCTGCAATAAGGAAGTAACAGCCCTGGAATGGAAACCCAAGGTCTACTTCCCGTATCCCTGGGCCTGGCCTTTGTCTACCCTTCATCAGGTTTCATATTCTCCTCTAGGTCCCATGCCCTCTTTCATCCTGCATGCTTTTTTTCACGCATCTATAAGTTGAGAAAAATGAGTTTTAAAACTGTTATCTGCAAAGCTGAAAGCTAGATTTCAACTGCGTTGGCTCTACAATGTACAGACATTTCTGAAGCAGGTAGAGACAGCATTAACTGCATAAGCATGTATCAGAATGAAATTAATTGATCTTAAAGTTTTAGCTGTAGCTTGAGAGCATCTGACGCTATGAAAATACGGGTTGCATAGACCAGATTTATAGAGTCTGGTTCAGAATTCTGCTACCCACTGAGCTAAGCTCTTAAAATGATCATTATGGGTTCTACAGATTTATAAAAAGATCAGTGAGATTTAGAATAAGTCAAAGATAGCTGGCGAGCTTACCTTGAAGTTGGAAGGCACCCCGCCGACATAAAACACAGTGTCCTCAGGGTCCAGATCCAGCAAGGAGTCATCCCCTGCAAACTCTCCCTTTTTAATAAATTTCTCCTCCGCTGTGCTACTTAAACTTGGGACTGTTAAAAACACCTTTCCATGTTTTCCTACCCTGTGGAAATAAAGCTTGTTCATCCTTTATGAGCCAGATAATTTGTACAAAACACTATTTTTTATGTCAAATGTTAATGTTCCCTTATCACACATTTGATGATATGACTTAGTCACTTTAACTCATTCATAGAATATCAACAATCCAGGAGACAGGGATAGAAGCCATTAATCACCTCGGAGTTATTCATGGGTTGGCCAGGTAAAAAGATCCAATGATGACATTACTATTCAGAAGTGCTGATATTTTTTCTAATCTTTTCTTTTTCACTAAGGCATTTGGGAAGGAATACAGGAATAATAGAAGCAGAGGAACAAGAATAAAAAATACTACTTATACCACCCTCAGGAAGAGTATATGAACGTTTGTGCATTTGATAGGTTTCTCACAAAATGTGCATAGAAGCTGGAAGCCTCGGGTTCAGGTTACCTCTCAATCTTGACAATGCTGAAGTAAGCTGGCCAGGAGCTGACAGGCTTGGAGTCGAGTGGAATCTCCACATCCTTGGTTCCCAAATTATAAACGTATACCAGGTTATCATTTTTGATCGCAAGACCCATATATTCTTTTTTGGCCTGAAATGTCAAGAAGTTATTTGAGTGAAATTCATATGGATGAATATCGCCTTTTATGTTCCTTTAAAGGACAATCTGCAATCCAACTGCTTGGCTGTGTATAAGTGACTTCTGATCTGATTTTTTTTTTTTTTACCCATAACTCCAGTTAGATTGAACAGTGGCTCTGCTCCCCAGGTCCCCTGCAGCCGCACTATAGCCTGCTGCCCCTGGACCTGCTCAGAGACCATCCTAGACAAGGAGGTGAGTAACTGCGGGCTGCAGGGAATCTGACGGCTGCCAGGAGTGTGCGAACATTGTCAGGCTCACTCAGGGACATAATGCCTCCTGACAACACGGATTGCTCCACCTCTTCAAACAGAATTCAGCATCAACATAATAAGCCGTGTTATGGAAAGGCTTTGAAACACTCTTTGGACTCACCAAAGTCAGTCGTGTGATGATGATATGAAGCAATCCCAGCAGTATCCCACCCAGACTTGTCCTTCAATCATTACTTGATTCTTGCCATTAAGAGGATGCATGTTAGCAGGGTTGGCAAAGTGGGAATTTTGTTCGTTTGCCTAGGTGGCTTTGCTGTAGGCAAGAGGAAAGGTAGCTTTCCTTTTTAATATCATCTCCTTTTTTATAGGCTCATGCACTTACATTCTTGCTTCCGAGGTATAGGACAAACTGATCTGCAGTCCCAGGCTCTTCTTGCTGCTTCATGGGGGGCTTCATGTACAGGCTGAGGGAGGTGAAGGCCTTTAGGTCATCCATACTGGCTTTGGGGTGCACTTCAACGGCTGACTGTCCATCGAACATCATGGAGACTTGGATCTGCAGTTATAAATTTGTTTCACTAAAAGTACTCTGTGGAAATGGGCAGGTGCTTTTCCCTGATTCTCAAATGGTCTCACCTACTCCTGACAGGGCCCTCTGAGCTCTACTTTCACCCACACTTTCATTTATTTATATCCTCATCTTGTTGGAGGAAGGATTTCAGTAAGACTATGATATAACAATTTAAATTGAAATGAAAACAAAATTGGTGATAAACTAGATGCAAGAATGAGGAAAAATATGAAATCTACAATGCACTATACATTTGGACTGAGTGGACTTAACAACTTGAAGGGATATTTGGTCAAACAGTTAACTCACAAAATCCAGGACTGAATTTTTAAAACAGCATTTAACATGCCACTTGGGATGCCTGAATCACACATCAGACTTCCTGGGTTCAAGTTCTGTCTCTGCTTCTGATCCCAGCTCTCTGCTAATGTAGACCCTGGGAGGCAGCAGGTGATGATGATTCAAGACTTGGGTCCCTGTCACCCACATGGGAGACATGAATTGAGTTCCTGGCTCCTGGCTTTGTCCTGGTCCATCCTTGGCTGTTGTGGACATTTGGGGAGTAACAGATAGAAGATATCTCTCTCTCTCTCTCTCTCTCTCTCTCTCTCTCTGTTTCTGTCTGCCTCTCTGTCTTTTAAATAAAAGATAAAAATAAAAAAAACTCCATAAGATTTATATAAAAACTATTGGATGAAGTATGAGAGGTTTTCAAAAAGTTCCTAGAAAATAGGTTTTCTGAAAAAAACTATGCATTGATTTGAAAAAAAATTTAATTCTATTTTCCATGGATTTTTTAAAGTATGGGTGTCTAGCTAATCTTGGGTACTAATATAAGGACTTGTTCCCAAGGGTGCTCATACAAACAGGAAGGGGGTGAGGCTGAGAGTCACATCCTTTACCACATCTGTGCAGTTGGGATGGGGGTGTAGACACAGTTTTTTATAGTCTTAGATCAGGTTTTGAAACCTGGCTCTGCTACTTATTAGCTATATAACCATGAGTAAGTCACTTAACTTTTTAAATTTGTGTGAGAATGAAAGACAGTAACTACAAAGTCCTTTCTAGTGCTTAGCTCTTTGATTATAATAATTGTAATGGACAGTTCATTAGATGCTTGTTTTTCAAAATTTTTACTTATTTATTTTCATTTTATTTGAAAGGCAGGAAGAGACAGAAAAAGCTTCCACCTTTTGGTTTACTCCCAAAATGAGAGTGAGAGAGAAGACATGGAGGGAAGGAGATGGAGGGAGAGAGAGAGAGAAAGTCTTCCATCTGCTGGTTCATGCCCCCAGATGCCTGAAACAGTCATGGATGGGCCAGGCTGGGACTCAGGAACTCAGACTAGGTCTACCATGTGAGTTGCTAGGACCCAAGTACTTGAGTCATCATTTGTTGCCTCTCACGGTGTAAGTTAGCAGGATGCTAGAATCAGAAGTGGAGCTAGGATTTGAATCCAAGCACTTTGAAATGAGGAGTGGGTAACCCAAGTAACATCTTAACCACTGTGGCAAACACTCAACCCTAAGGTGTTTCTTTAGTGATTATCAGAAAGGCACCACAGCAAAGCACAATTTTAGCATATTTCTAAGAGATCCAACTTGACATGTCACACTGGCCGGATTCATGGATGAATTTTTATACATAAATGGGTGACTTTGTATACTCATGCTGTTTGTGCATATCTTTCTGAAAGACTAAATCAATCAATTAATATTGATTTGGCCAATGTTGCCTGGCATACAGCTGTCCTATGTTTCTGGTTGAGTAAAGATCCAATATGTCTTAATAAACAATCAAACATTGTGGGCGTGAGGTATTTTTGTAAAGAGTCTGAGAAGGATGTATGACTGCATGGAAAGCATCTCGTTTTGGGGAACTGAGTCCCAAAGGTGGGGCCAAGACTCCCTTTGGAAAATAGTTTTAGGGGTGGGCATTTGGCCAAGTGGTTAGGATGCCAGTTGGGATGCTATGCCTGTGGCATACATGCAAGTGCCTGAGTTTGATGCTTGGCTCCAGCTACTGATTTCAGCTTCCCAACAATGCAGACCTGGGAGACAGCAGTGATGGATCAAATAACGGGGTTCCTGCCACCCATGTGGGAGACCTGGATTGAGTTCCCACTTCCTACTCTTGCTAATCATTGCAGGCATTTGGGAAGTGAGCCAAAGACGGGAGCTCTTCCTGTCTGTCTGTTGGTGTCTTTGTTTCTTTGCCTCACAAATAAAAAGACAAAAGTTACAAAAAATATGCTCATGTGATTAAGGATTCCAAGTTATACTTTATAAAAACGACATTACAAGAATGTACTTACAGAAACCTGGCTTCAAGAAAGCTATTTCTTGATGTTCCTTTAAGATAAATCTTTATTGAGCCGGCGCCGTGGCTCAATAGGCTAATCCTCCACCTTGCGGCGCCGGCACACCGGGTTCTAGTCCCGGTTGGGGCGCCGGATTCTGTCCCGGTTGCCCCTCTTCCAGGCCAGCTCTCTGCTATGGCCAGGGAGTGCAGTGGAGGATGGCCCAGGTGCTTGGGCCCTGCACCCCATGGGAGACCAGGAAAAGCACCTGGCTCCTGGCTCCTGCCAGGATCAGCGCGGTGCGCCGGCTGCAGCGGCGGCCATTGGAGGGTGAACCAACGGCAAAGGAAGACCTTTCTCTCTCTGTCTCTCTCTCTCACTGTCCACTCTGCCTGTCAAAAAAAAAAAAAAAAAGATAAATCTTTATTGAAAATGTTGGCTGGGTTGTCTAGATAAGCAATTTGTGGTATAGGACTATTTATCATTGCCATTTAAAAACTGGGTGTATTTATCAAGAATAATCTCCTTCCTTATAAAAAGAGTGATTTTTTTTCTTTTTACTCTTCTTTCTGTTTAGTAATTGGGGCCAACAGTCTGTTCAGGGAAATTCTTAATTGAGAAAATCAAACCATATAATTTGGCAGTGAAAAATGAGGGTGGTCTATAAATCAATAGAGGACAAATTACAAAGAGGTCTAAAAGCAAGCCCCACTTTGCCATAGTGAAGATTGTCATTTCTAGCAATACTGGCTCCAGCCATGGTGCTGCTAGGTTGCCCCTGTGTAAGTGTCTTTAGGTCAAGGTCTTTGTTGAATTTATTCAGCTTGGCTGGTCCCTGCATTCTCCGTCAAGCCTGCAGAGCATTCAATGAGAGTTTTACACAATCGGTATTGACCAGAGAATTTCTTAAAGAGGTAGTAGAAACTTATTCCACATGATAGTTGTACTAACAGAGCTGTTATATTGTTAATAATAATAATGCACCAAATAATTTTGGGGGTTACTTGGTTTCTTTTCCATATTAGCTTTGTTGATTAAATTAATTTGGTGGGTTTTTTTTTTTAATTTTTGAGGACAGTATTTATTTATTTGAAAGGTAGAACAAAAGTGAGAGCAAGAGAAAGAGAGAGAGAAAGAGGAAGAGGGAGAGAAAGAGAGAGTAAAAAAGAGAGAGAGAGGAAGAGAGAGAAATATCTTCCATATGCTAGTTCACTCCCCCAGATGGCTGCAACAGTCAGGGATGGGCCAGGCCAATGCCAGGAGCCTAGAACTCCATCCTGGTCTCCTACTTGGGTGTAGGGGCCCAAGAACTTAGGGCATCCTCCGCTGCTTTCCCAGGTGCATTAGCAGGGAACTGGATGACAAGTGGAACAGTCAGGAGTACCAGCACTCATGTAGGATGCTGGTGTCACAGGCGGTAGCTTAAACCACTGTGCCACAACACTGGCCCCAGTTTGGTGGTTCTTAGTCCTGGCTACACATTAGAACAACCTGGGAGCAGAAAAACAGTATAAGTGTGGAGACCTTTCTGCAGAGGTCCTGATACACTGCTTTGAGCCTGGGACCAGGAACTGATGCATTTTTCAAAACTCCTCAGGATCTTCTAATGAATCAGTGGGGCCGGGAACTTCCAAGTTGGATAACTCAGTAGGACCTTTCTACCCCGAGACCTGCCTGAGGAGTTTCGGCTTCGTGTTCTTGCTTACGTTCTCGCTGCCGCCGAGGGACTGGTGACTCCTTGTGCGTTACCCACCTTGCTAGCAACACTTCTGGTCTGTGCAATGAGTTCTCGAATTCTCTGAATGCTGGCGGAAACATTGCTCGCAGGCCGTTTCTGCTCCACGGTGCGAAGCTGATCCAGGAGCTGAGGGACAACCTCTGACAGATTTCTCACTGCAGTTTAGGAAAATTAATCATTTGAGTCAACATCTCAATAGTAAGTAAATCTCAGGGAGAGACAACAAAGACACGGTTAATTCTGCTAGAACCATAAGGAATGATTTTTAACCCTGCAAAGTGCAAAGTAAAGCCCAAAGCATAATCAATTTCTATTTTGTGACATGTATAGTACATTTTGATTTATGAATTGCACTTGGAACGTGGTGATGTTCATTACTGAGTATTAGTCAAGGGCAGGATCCATGACAAATATGCAGATGCCCCTTTAACCACGTAGTACTGGTTCTGCTTGCATTTCTAACAATAACTGATATACCAAGTCAAGAGAACGTTGCGCAAAAAGAGGTAGCAAAGTCATTTTTCAGGACGCCCATGGACAATCCCACAGGTGCTGCTGCTGTCCCAGTAGAGGCTGAGCCAGACGGAGGAAATCCCGCAGTATCCAGGCATGTAGCCACTGTGCCAAGGTGTAGGTGGGCAGCCATGGTCTACGGGCCTAGCCAAGAGTGATGCTACAAGTAGAACTTACTGAACTTTTTCAGATTTTAGTTCTGGACCTCCTGCTGGAGGACAAAACAACCTCTGGGTGTGGAGGGTCAAAGCAGACAGCAAGAGAGGCAGTGACCAGGCCAAAGCACAAGGTGGCCTCAACCTCGCCTATGCAGCTGTGCACCTCTTCACTCCCCAGGTGTGCGATTGATCTATTTCTTAGGTCTCTTTTGTTTGTTTTGAATTCGCAATGTATGCATAGAAAAGAGCCTAAGTAATAAAGACACAGGTTGATGAGAGAAACCCAAAGCATAGAGAATGGTATAACTTTTTCTGAAGCTTCATTAGCCGAACAGTGGCTCTGCGAGTTTTGTCCCTAAACCAGTAGCATCAGTATTACCAGGAAACTTGTTAGAAAAGCAGGTTCTTTGGCTCATCTCAAATCTGCTGAGTTGGAAATTCTGGGAGTGGAGGGTAGCAGTCTGTTTAACAAGCCTTCCATGTGATTCTGATGCCCAACAGTATGCTTGAGAACCAGTGGACTACAGAATGAACATGTTGGGGGTATCCTGCTACATAAAGATAGGACCACCATCACTGAGCATTAGCTGCTGGGCCAAGCTGAATCCAGATTCAGGAGGTTACATCAACGCAGGATCAGAAAAGCATCTTTTCTCTGACTGGGAACAAGATATTTTTTCCAGCTCAAGGAATAGAATAAAGTGAAATAATGGCAACTCCTAGTTTGTTGCACTGATTAAAACAGAAGTAAATACTTGTTGTTTGGATCATTGATTATAGGACCATTTTATATTATAATAGTCTTTAAAAATCAAGGGTAGGGCCAGCGCCGCGGCTCACTAGGCTAATCCTCCGCCTTGCGGTGCCGGCACACCGGGTTCTAGTCCTGGTCGGGGCGCCGGATTCTGTCCCGGTTGCCCCTCTTCCAGGCCAGCTCTCTGCTGTGGCCAGAGAGTGCAGTGGAGGATGGCCCAAGTACTTGGGCTCTGCACCCCATGGGAGACCAGGATAAGTACCTGGCTCCTGCCATCGGATCAGCGTGATGCGCCGGCCGCAGCGCGCCAGCCACGGTGGCCATTGTAGGGTGAACCAATGGCAAAGGAAGACCTTTCTCTCTGTCTCTCTCTCTCTCACTGTCCATTCTGCCTGTCAAAAACAAAACAACAACAACAAAAAACAACAAAAAAACAAGGGTAACGAAGTATATTTAAAGCATTACTTGTGATTTCAGAAATGTAGCTTATGTATAAGACAGGGTCATCCCTCAGTTCCGATTCTCTCAGAAAAAGGGAGCCATCATATTACAGTCTTTTTAAATTTCTATATCATGTCACTCTCTCATTTACTTTGTTTTGAACCACAAAATGCTATTTGAGGAAAACACTGTAGCCAGAATCCATTTCCATAGGTGCTAGGTAGTTCTGGATGTATGCCATTTTGAAAGTAATTAAGTGAGTAGTTACAGAAAAGAATTCATGAAAAAAAATTCATGAATACAAAAGAACGACTTTACTGTTATGGGAATAAATATTTGTAAATTAGAGTAAAATTTCTCCTGACAGATAGATAATATATGGATTCATCAACTTGTTTCTTAACTCAGATACAGGTAACGAAGGTCTATAAAACCACACTGGAGAGCCAGGTGTTTTAATCATGATTTGTCATGATAGTGGAAGATGTTATGAAGAGATGAAATAAAAATGTTAAGAATGGACACAGGGGCCGGCGCCGCGGCTCACTAGGCTAATCCTCCGCCTTGCGGCACCGGCACACTGGGTTCTAGTCCCGGTCGGGGTGCCGGATTCTGTCCCGGTTGCCCCTCTTCCAGGCCAGCTCTCTGCTGTGGCCAGGGAGTGCAGTGGAGGATGGCCCAAGTCC